ATTTCATTATTTTTAGAATAGAACGAAAATTGCCTGATTTTTTTCACATATGGGGGACTTTTTTTCAAAAGTATTGCATGATCTTCGGCCAAAATGAGTCAAATTAAGTTTTTATGCGATTAAAATTCCTTCAGAATGAGGAATATGATTACTTGAAGTAAGTGCAAAGTTATTCGATGACTTAGGTTATTGTGACTTTAAATGCAATTCGAATTTCATCTTTCGGATGATGACTAGACTTCTGTACCACTCTTCAAACCCATCGAGGGAAACGGATTCTCAAAATATAATGCAAAACCTTTACAAAAAACCTGCAATGACATTTTAAACTTAATTTTCCAGCTTAAAAATAATTTTGATCACTTTTTTAACTTTTCAGACCACTGTGCGTCGCTTATTCTGCTGTAAAGCTTGATCAGATTCGGCGTGAACGCGTTGTTTAGCATGCGGCGTCGTCCTTTCCACGTTTTGGCTGTATCGATAAAGTTCCGAATCAATTTTTTTATTTTTTTTTTTATTTATTTATTTTTTATTTACCATGGCTGAAAAGTATCCCGTTATTATTGAAGGCCCATCTCGCTGTCTGGTAGGCCACATCGGACTTGTCCAAGTTCGTTCTTGATGTCAAAATCGTCTGAAAAAAAAGAAGGCGAAAACGCAATTATTAGTTGAGTATAAACGAATGGGGGTATGAAGTTGAAAGTCAAATCGCCCGTAAATACCTTGATGTCGTCTGGATGTCGTATGAAAAGGAGGGCCTCCGACATCCAAGCCCACAACCGCACCACCGGGTAGTAGGCATCTTGGAAACTCTGAAGCTTGTCATAGGTGTCCGCTGAAAAACGAACATTATAGGAATGCAATTGATTTAGTTGGTTATCGTAAATTGAGTGCCTGTACCGCAAGCGCACACCGTTAAAAAAAAAACTTTAATGCGGTTTTTTAATCCGACATTACATTTAAAGTATACGGTACTAAAAATGAAATCTTCGATTTCTTTACATAAACCACACAATAAATTCATGAATACGATAGCACACATTATTTTTTCTACTCTAACCTGAAACACACAACTTTGCCGCTAATTTAAGACTTCCGTAGGAAAAAATAGTATCATCAAGTGGCGCAGATATGGTTTTTTAGACAAAACTCGTTACGGTATTCGCCGTCGGCTCGTGATATGAACCCTCGTTAAAAAATCTAATGCCCCCATTGAGAAATATACTATTTTAAAGTAAAAATGAACGAAAAATATTTATACTATACAATAAAACTTAAAAATGTTGATAAAAAATACATGTGTTAGTATAGTGATTTATTTTAAGCGTTAATTGCCCAAAAAATTTATGAGCTCAATCATCATTAAAGTCAGCGTTCACCGTGGCGAGTACCTTCTCTGCAAAACTGCAAGTGGTAAAGTGAAAATATTTGCACAAGTCGAATCAAACTTTAGGTGAGATGAACTGAGTTGAATGATGAACTTCAATTTGTTCTTTTGTAATTCTAATTTATAAATTCAATGATGTTTTACATTAGAAATGCAGCAAATAAAACAAAATTACACGAAACAATCTTACTTATAAAAAAGAGAGCGGCTGAAAAATGAAGCCGCGTAAAATGACCTATGATCGATACGAGCGCCTGCGCTGCTTACTGTCAACAAACAGTTAGTACTTAAGTAATCTCAACTCAAAACATGAATGAACAAATTGACACGCGCGGAGCGCGTTTTAAACGTCTAGTGCAATAAATTTAATGTGAGTATAATATGAAACATTTTCCATAATTTTAAGTTCAAATCGATTCGTACAAATGCTCTTCTGATGACTTTGAATTCATCTACTCTAAGGAAAAAAATCGCCCTTTACTTATTCATGAAATTTAGATGGCAAAATGTTCTCTATAACAATGTACGCGTGCGTAACTTAGCGCGGAGAATCAAACTTACCGTTCGAACAAGTGGCGAAATTCCAGCTGTTGCCCACAATGGGCAAGGGCGCGGGTCCTGGAAACTTGTTGATGGCCCTGCCGTACGCGCTGTAGTGCACCGAGGCGTAACAGTAAACTATCACCAGTATGACAACGACAAAGATCAAGGCGTACATCGCTGCAATGAATTTATATAATAATTTACAAAAAAAAAAGCAAAACTTGTAGCACACCCCACAAAATCGACGACAAGTTCCCCAACACTTTCTTCCTATATAAACAAATCTGTGCTTCTTTCGCACCTGACTCGCGTCGCTAAACTGATCGCTCAAATAGATAATTCGCCGGCATATATAACCCAAACGCTTCGCGCGATCAAAAGGCGAGGGAAACAAAAAAACGGTCAAATAGTCACGCGACTATAGGAAATAGTTTTTTACTTTGTTTCACCCAAGCGTTGACACTCGTCGTCGCGTTAGAAAAAGAGAGCACCTGGGCTCGCGATTAATAACGAGAAAAAAAACTGCGGTACACATTCGATCGCATGTGATCTTCTTTTTTCTGCACGTCTCAATCGTCATCGTTGACCAATTGGAGTAATTAATATGCAATCGCATACAAAGTATTCGTAATCGTCGTAGATTTTTTATGAAACTCGTAATGCGACGATAGAAGTGAATGTTTTTTGTTGCTTTAGAAACTATGTATATAGTTGATTCTCCCGAAGTCTGCTTTTTGCATGTCTTTATGCCATGTTCTTAAACTAGTGAGGAAAAGCCAAATCTGGATCGGTTGTTCATTCAATATCGAGGAGCGCGTGTCGCGCTCCGAATGGCAAGTATGGCAGGCGAGAGCAGCGTCACTCCACGCTCCTCATATACGCGAGAATTATTATATTCTTTCTGATTGGACATAAATATTTCAATTTTTTAGTGCCAGTTACATAATGCATATGCCGTGGAGATGTACATGCCAAATGTCACCTCCGTGGCATGTCTAGATCTCAAAATCAACTCTATTTGCATTAATCATGCTTCTAAATCATTTCAAATATACCGCCTCGTTTAAGTCGCTAACTCATTTTTGATGTTCCTAGATACACAAATGTCAAGTATTATGACCTAACTTTCGATCAGTATAAGTTGCGGGTTCAAAGTTTAAATTTTAGCTGTGCAGCGATAATTATTCTAATGGAAAATTCACGTATTTCAAAAAAACTGTCACCTCCGAGGATATGAATATCTTGAGCTATGGTCATTCTTTTTAACCTCTCACCCGGTCAAAAGACTCGTTTTTCATGACTGAATTTCAGGCTGTACGGAAAATTTTGTGCATCTCTAATTTTTCATACTTAGTTGACTTATTTTTCATACTTATGTTAGTTGAAGCAGCGACTTGTCATCTCCGTGTGCGTAACTTCCGTATCCGAAAATAGTCAATTTTCAAAGTCAAGCTCAACTATGCCCAGCCGATAGTGAAGAATCTCACGGTGTTCATGAGGGAGACTACTGGTTCGGTGCTCATCGCTGTGTCGTCTGAGAGCGATCTCCAGTAGCTCAAGCCCAGACAAAAGTGACGGGCTCCGAATCGAGTGTCGAGTACGTCGTCATCGGGAGTTTCACTGCCTTCGTTTTCCATCGCCCATGCTAATGTAAATAGACTCAACTACCAAGTGAAGGACGGTGTCAAACGCACCTGGCTCGACCTCTTCATTGTAGACAAATTAAATTCAGTTGTAAATTACTGCAAGTCAACTACGCCATTCATTATTGCTCATGATCTTATAGAAATAAATTACAAGTTTTGCAAACCACCTGCTGTTATACGCTCGTTTACATCGCGACACCTGAATCGCATCAATGATCACGACTTACTGACAACACTTACACCCAAGCTCGTTGACATGACGACTCATGCTCCAGTAGATACTAATGTCCATCAACTCACCGACAGCTTCTCTGAAACATTATTAAATTGCTTTAACGAGGTAGCACCACTGCGCTTGTACACAGTCAGCGCACGCAGCAGGCCATGGGTCTCACCAGAGATGCGTGAATTGATGGCACAGCGTGATCGGGCGTACAGACGAGCGTGTGACTCCGAAAATGTTCGTGACATAGCGAACTATCCCCAACTGAGAAGTCAGATAAAGCGCCTTATTGATGACAGTAAAGAAAAATACATCGTCCAAAAACTGCAAATAGCTGAGGATTCTGAACAAAAGTGGACTGTTTTGCATAAATTGGGCTTGACGAGTGACAAACTACTTTCTCCGACCAACTACTTCTCACTCGACTCATTGAACAGTCACTTTGCTTCCATCTCATCAGCATCCCCCGCATTAACAGATGACTCAATACAACAGGTCCTACAGACACCACTGAACACAGCTAAGCCGACATTTGACTTGTGCATGGCCACTCGGGCACAGGCCATGCGGGTAATCACAAGCTCCAGGTCTAAGGCCATCGGACCTGATCATCTGTCCTCTGACATGCTTAAAAGAGCTGCTCCACTCATTGCTGATCCGTTGTTGGAAATCTTCAAGTCTATTGCAAATCAACAAGTCTATTGCAACTCATACATTCCCGTCATCTTGGCTCAAAACCTACGTACTGCCCTTATCGAAAAAGAAACTCATCACGGATATTACCGACACTCGACCTATAGCAAAACTATGTGAGGTTTCCAAGGCCTGTGAGAGACTGGTTCATGAGCAACTGAGTGATCATCTGGAGAGATTTGAGCTGCTGAACCCACGCCAGGCTGGCTTTCGAAGAGGACATAGCACTCAGACAGCGTTGTTGGCCCTGATGGATGATGTTCAACAGGCGGTGGACGACCGTCAGATGACTATCTTGGCTCTGTTAGACTTCTTTAAAGCATTTGACATGGTTCCACATCAACTGCTTCTAATGAAACTTCGCAGATTCAACTTTGGCGACTCAACAATCAAATGGTTTGCCTCATACCTGCGACATCGCAGCCAGGCGGTAACTGACTCCAATGGTTTGGAATCAGCTTGGCTGCCGACCACTTCTCGTGTCCCTCAAGGCAGTGTCCTTGGGCCGCTGCTGTTCTCTCTCTTTATCAACGATCTGCCTGACGTCCTTGTTCTCTCTTAATGCATGCTCTTTGCCGACGATCTGCAGATCTACAGCTCGTTTTTTCCAACGGACTTTGCGCGGGCACTGAGCGCCTTCAATCGCAATGTCAATGCCGTATCAGCCTGGGCCACCGCAAACGGCCTCTTATTGCTAAACAAGGCTAAAACACAGGTGATGCTGATGGGTAGTGACGCTTTTTTGGGACGCTTTGACCTCTCCACCACACGTCGGGTGTTCTTGGATGGCCTACCCCTGCCTTATGCGACTGTGGTGAAGTCCTTGGGAGTGTATGTTCAGCCGAATCTTGACTCAAGAGCACACGTCAAGCAAGTGGTGAAGCGCGTCCATCGTGTGCTCTATTCACTTCAACATCACCGCAAAGCACTACCACGACCTATACGCAAGGAGTCGTAGAAGCATTAATCTTCCCCCACTTCGACTATGCGTGTGCAGTCTACAATGATCTATTTCAATACCAGGAACTCAAACTCCAACGAGCCCTTAATGCCTGTGTAAGATATGTCGTCGATCGCATAGGATGGATGGACCATATCGCGCCTCACCGACTGGCCCTTGGTTGGCTGTCTACTGCCAGACGAAGACAATACTTCATGCTTCAATTGCTTACACCGCCATCTCATTCAACAATCCCTCTTATCTGCTACCCAGATTTACCATGCCACCAACCAGCGTCACTCAACGCTCATCCAAACGCCTCCCCCAGCGCTCACTCATTCATCGCAAAACAAGAGAAACCAGCACCATTGAATCTTCTTTTTACTACACAGCAACAGACCTAATCAACTCACTTTTTTCTGAACCATTAAACTTTAAACCTCAATCTATAGCCCAATTCAAAATCACAGTCTTTCGCAAACTACTTGACATGGATATAGCTGATCACTCATAAACAATACCACTTCATCACCCCCCACACTACCCGCCTCACTATCACCATCACCGCCGGTACCATCACTCACCTCGCAACAATCATATTCATCTCCATGCTATATTTAAACTACGCTATATTTAAACTATTAATGTATCTCTTATTATATTGTTGTTAAATTGATTCAACAATGTATGCTTATTGTAAATACAACCGTGCCAGATGGGGCTTGCCCTGCGGCCGAATAAAGTTATTCAATCAATCAATCAATCAATCTCTCTCTCTCTCTCTCTCTCTGCTTATGTGGGTGTTATCAAATCAAATCAGGCTTTTCTCTAGTTATTTCCAATCTCTGTGTTTTATATAGGCGATTCCTGTTATCCACGGGGTTTACGTTCCAAAAAAGTGCCGCGAATACGGAATCCGCAGATACGGAGGCATTGCGTATATGGGAAACAGGGGGTTCGGTTCCCGTTTGAGGAAATTTATTGCACCAACTTCTCTTCGAATACATAAATAATATACAATTAAGATTTATTAGACGTATTGAAGTTATTTTCAAGGCGACTCTGCTTCATACGACACACAAAATCCTTACGAAACTCTTCATAAGCTTTCAAAAGTTCTTCACATCCACGATGAAACTGCAAACTCCGAACCATGATTGGATCTTCAGCTAAAGTCAAGCCAGCAGCTTCTTGAACTAGACTGATAATTTTACATACTGATTGAACTGAAAGTGATTTGGGTTCCTTAGATTCATCAACATCATCTTTTTGCTCTGTGAATTTTACTGCAAACCGCGAATATAGGTACATAAAATCCGCGAATATGGAGTAAGGGTGAATTTTGACGATTCGCGAATAAGGGTAATCGCGGATACCGAATCCGCAAATAACGGTGATCGCCTGTAGATCACTTTCTGTCAATCTTGATGAATTTCGTAGCAATGGGAATATGCGGCTCGAGGGCGATATTCAACTGAAACCTGAGATCCTTCGATCTCGTCACGGCCTCTATTCTGAAGTCGTACAATATCCTGGCCATAACGGATTTTAACTTAGGCGAAACTGCGTCCTATGAACATACGGTAATAAACGAGTTGGATTTATGTATAATTTTATATTTTGCATCACGATCGTGACGATCGCTTACCAATACAGCCTCGAATGCCCGAGCTGAACGGCATGTACGCGTAGGGATGCTGATCCTTGATGTTCTCCGGCAGAAATCTGTCCGGGTCGAATTTACTCGGATCCGGCCAATACTTCGGGTCCATTTGGACCGTCTGGAAGAAGATTATGATGTCGGTGCCCGCCGGCACTTTGTGGCCGCTTTCTGCGCAAAATATAGTTATTTAAATTTAGAAAAATCTGCTGAATCTTTTTGATTATGCAAGCACACTAATAAGTAAAATACTATTGAATCCTAAGGCTCAAACCCTACCTTTCTTGAAAAAATTAGAACGATTCTTGGTGGGGCTTACTGAGAGAACTAGTATATTTTTAAAAACACTCTCTGTTTCGTCGAGAATTTAAATTAATTCTAAATTCTCGTAATTACTGTGTAGAAAGGGTGTGGTAAATAAAATGCTCGTTTAAAGAGGAAAAACATGAAAAAACCTCTCTTTATTGAAATTGATTTTTGAACTGAGTATATAGATGCGATTAGATCAGTGCGTGACGGTAGTCAAAGCTAGACTGTACCGGTTGCAGCTCAGAGCCGCCGAACGACAATGTCCTTTCGACATTGAGGATACATACGCACACCACAGCTGTGAGATAAAGACGCACCGCGCGGACAAGTTACGACGCGTAAGTCAAGTTCGTAAGCGTAAACAAAAGAACACTACTCGCGTGCCGGCCGGCGTTTCGTAAAATATCGATATTAAAGTATTTGTAACGCGAACCCGAATCATGCGCCTCTCACTGCCGTTGCTGTAAGCCATGGTGTATGTATATACCTCGGAGAGAACCGAACACTCTCTGTTTTTGGCGATTATACCATTTTAAGCTTCTACCGCTAAATGGCTAGTATTTTTAAATCTGTAAATCTGCAAGTAGCAAGGTCAAATTAATTGTATAAGTCTAAAGCATGATTTGAACATTGCATGTTCCATGCATGTCGAGTCCAATGGTATTTTATTTTTCAGCGTGTTACATTACCCATGTAAAAAAATGTGGCAAAAGTATGGAAAAAAGTCAGGCAAAATTCTATTTTTCTCAAATTTTTAAAAATTACCTTAAAACCTTAAGAGGAAAATTTTAAATCCTGTAAATTAAAACACATGAAAAGTAAATATTAATGTTGAAATATTGTGTTTGCGAGTGGCAACAGTCAAAGTGTCTGTTAATTTGTACATTAATCTCGGTCTCGCTTAGAATCTCTACTTAAGGGATGCGCATTGTTGCTGTTCGCTTGCCCCGTGCTCGGTTGCAGTAGTTGATGTTTATATTGTTCAGGGCTCATGAGCCAGACTTTTGCCACATATTTATTCTTTATCAACGCGACAACGAAGATACTTACGCAGTATGATGTCCTCGACGAGATGCCGACCGATTACCGGGCCCGGCGGAAATATTCTCATCGACTCCTTGAAGCAACGCTCGAGATACTCCATCCTCTCAAGCTCGTTCGAGGTCAAATTGCCACCGCACTCCTCCATTATGGGCTGCACCTCGCGCCTGGCCCGCTCATGTATCTCCGGATGCTCACCCATCAGCACCGTGAGATAGGACAGTGCGTAACCGGTGGTGTCGTAGGCCGCCGAGATGATGATCTCGAGCTCTTCCAGCACACCCTTCTCGTCGATCCGGCCCTCGGACTCGAGCTGCAGCAGCAAATCCAGCAGCGCCAGGCGACGTCGGTCGCTGGCCTGGCTCGGCCAACCGTCCGTCACGTCGTCGTACTCGTCGGCCACCCTCTTGATGTGCTCGTAGCCGACCTCCTCGAGGTAGCGCCTGCGCTCGTTAACCACCATGGCGAAGAAGCCGTGGAACGCCTCGCCGCAGACTTTGAGTTGACGTCCGATCGGCAGAAACTTCACCATCCAGCTGGGTATGTAGGGACGCACCACCAGATGCCCGACCAGACGGCCTATCTCGTCGATGGCCTACACGTAGCGCTTGGTCAGATCCTGATTCAGATTCGCTAGTTTCACGCCCATCATCGCCTCTGTTACGTTTTTTAGATTGATTTAGATGGAAAAAGTTAGGTACACTCTATATTTAGGGTTTATAGGCACCTCTAACTAATAAAATAAAATAAAAAACTCAACAATTTTTTTTATCACTTTTATGGACTAGTCAAAAAAACCTTGAGTTTTTCGAGTATTTTTGAAGGTCATTGTCACCTTGTAGGGTCCAAAAGATGTCCCTAATATTACTAAATCCTTAAATGATTGAAAGACTTGAGTGCATTAAAATATAAGCACGTATCGTAAAAGTATTTTAAAATTAAAAAAAAAAGTTTGAAATACTTATTTTATTTTATTAGTTAAAGGTGCCTATAAGCCATTATTTCCCTTATGGCAAAATTACCGCTGGTGGACGACAACACGAGCTGGTGATAGAACTCAGTGACGTTGTCGATGTCAGATTTGCCTTTGAGCTGCTCGATAAATTCAACCGTGTGCTCGTCGCTTATTCTGCTGTAAAGCTTGATCAGATTCGGCGTGAATGCGTTGTTTAGCATGCGACGTCGTACTTTCCACGTTTTGGCTGTATCGAAAATATTCCAAATCAATTTTTTTGTTGTTTTTTTTTTTTTATTTACCATGGCTGAATAGTATCCCGTTATTGTTGCAGGCCCGTCTCACTGGCTCGTAGGCCACTACAGACTTGTCCAAGTTCACTCTCGATGTCAAAATCGTCTGAAAAAAAAGAAGGCGAAAACGCAATTATTAGTTGAGTATAAACGAATGGGGGTATGAAGTTGAAAGTCAAATCGCCCGTAAATACCTTGATATCGTCCGGGTCTCGTACAAAAAGGACGGCCTCCGACATAAAAGCCCATAACCGCACCACAGGGTAGTAGGTATCTTGGAAACTCTGAAGCTTGTAATAGGTGTCCGCTGAAAAACGAACATCATAGGAATGCAATTGATTTAGTTGGTTATCGTAAATTGAGTGCCTGTACCGCAAGCGCACACCGTTAAAAAAAAAACTTTAATGCGGTATTTTAATCCGACATTACATTTAAAGTAACCGGTACTAAAAATGAAATCTTCGATTTCTTTATATAAACCACACAATAAATTCATGAATACGATAGCACACATTATTTTTTCTACTCTAACCTGAAACACACAACTTTGCCGCTAATTTAAGACTTCCGTAGGAAAAAATAGTATCATCAAATGGCGCAGATATGGTTTTTTTCAACAAAAACTCGTTACGGTACTTGCTTTCGGCTCGTGATATAATCCCTCGGATTGTTTAAAAATCATAATGCCCCCGTTGAGAAATATATTATTTTAAAGTAAAAATGAACAAAAAATATTTATACTATACAATAAAACTTAAAAATGTTGATAAAAAATAAATGTGTTAATGTAGTAGTTTTTTTTAAGCGTTAGTTGCCGAAAAAATGTATGATCTCAATCATCATTATCGTTCGCCGTTAGATGGCTAGTACCTTCTCTGTAAAACTGCAAGCGGTAAAGTGAAAATAATTGTATAAGTCGAATCAAACTTTAGGTGAGATAAAATAACAAGGCAATTTAAGAGGTAAAATGTTCTCTATAACAATGTACGCGTGCGTGTCTTAGCGCGGAGAATTATACTTACAGAACGAACAAGTGGCGAAATTCCAGCTGTTGCCCAAAATGGGCATGGGCGCGGGTCCTGGAAACTTGTTGATGGTCCTGCCGTACTCGCTGTAGTGCACCGAGGCGTAACAGCAAACTATCACCAGTATGACAACGGCAAAGATCAAGGCGTACATTGCAGCAATAAATTTATAAAATTATTGTAAGAAAAAAAAATGAAAATTGTAGCACACCCCACAAAATCGATGACACGATCTCTAACACATAAACAAATCTGTGCTTCTTTCACACCTGACCCGCGTTGCTTAACTGATCGTTCAAATGGATAATTCGCCGGCATGTATAACTCAGGCGGTCTCGCGCGATCAAACGGCGAGAGAAACGAAAAAACGGTCAAATAGTCACGCGACTATAGGAAATAATTTTTTACTTTGTTTCACTCAAGCGTTGACACTCGTCGTCACGTTAAAAAAGGAGAGCACATGTGATGGCATGTGATTTTTTTTCTGCACGTCTCAATCGTCATCGTTGAGCGCGACCGGTATCACTTATCGTATATCGATACCGCATCGCAGCAGCTCTATATAGTAATTATTATGCAATCGCATACAAAGTATTCGTAATCGTCGTCGATTTTTTTAAACTTGTAATGCGACGATAGAATTAAAGGTTTTTTGTTGCTTTAGAAACTATGTATATATGACTGCATTTTCATGAATTTTTTTAGCAGTGAATTTTCAGTGACAATGTCGTGAAAAATTACCTCGAAAAAAATACAGCATTTTTTTTTTTAATTTTTAATTTCTCTAAAGACTGTACATTTCATTGCGCATTTCAATGCTCATGCGCACAGGACGAGATAGATGGAAAATTAGACTAGATTTATTCCGAGCTTGATTCTCTTTCTCTCTCTCTGCTTGTGTGGGTGTCATCAAATCCCAGGCTTTTCTCTTGTTTTCTCCAACCTCTGTATTTTATATATCACTTTCTGTCAATCTTGATGAATTTCGCGGCAATCGGAATATTCGGCTCGAGGATGATATTCAACTGAAATCTGATGTCCTTCCGTCTCGTCACGGCCTCAATTCTGAAGTCGTGCAATATCCTGGCCATGACGGATTTCAAATTTAGCCTGGCGAAATTGCGCCCTGCGGGCATATTTATACAGTAATGAACGAGTTGGACTGATATATATCATCTTATATTTTTCATTACGATCTGGCCGATTGCTTACCGATGCAGTTGCGAGAGCCCGAGCTGAACGGCATGTACGCGTAGGGATGCTGATCCTTGATGTTTTCCGGCAGAAATCTGTCCGGATCGAATTTGGTCGGGTCGGGCCAGTACTTTGGGTCCATGTGTACTGTTTGGAAATTCATGAAGACGTCAGTGCCCGCTGGCACTTTGTGGACTTTTTCTGAGCGAAGAATAATGAACAGAAGTTAGAAAAGTCTGCCGACGCTTTATTATTCATTAAACAGAAAAACAATTTTTTATTATGTGTTACTTTTTTGATTTGCAAGCAAACTTATGTGTAAAATACTATTGAATCCTAAGGCTCAAGCTTTACCTTTCCAGAAAAATTAGAATGATTCTTGATCTGGCTCCTGATCAGAGAATCCTTAAATTTTTAAAAACACTCTAATCCTCCCTCTTAAAAATTCCCCAAATAATTAATGGTATTAGGGGACTAAACATCTACAAATTAGAAAAAAAAGTTTTTTGTCAAACCTGTTTTGTCAAGTATAAGTCAATCATAGAAGTCAAGACTTTATACTACATTAAAAATTTTATTTTTTCTTATCATCCAACATCATCTGCAACAGCTGATTTAAAAAAATGGGAAACCCGAAAAACGATAACAAAAAATCATTAATTTTACGTCCTGATATTACAAGGCAACAATCCGCTCTTGTTACTGCTCAGAATAAAATAAAATGAAAAAAGTCGGTTTATAAACAACGAAACGGCATTATTTTTTTGGGAATTGAAGTTTTTTTCGATTGCATATAACTTTAAAAATATTGTGTCAATTTTTCCATTATACTTCCTTCCGAGCAGAAACAAGTGGAGAGGAATATACCAGTTGAAGCCTATACCGCTAGATGGTGAGTATTTTAAATCTGTAAATCTGCAAGTGGTAAAGTAAAGAAAATTGTATAAGTTAAAACACGCTTTTATATAGCCCCAGATGTCTCGATTCATGTATCAAATGTAGAAAATTAAAAACAAAAGTGTTTATGCTTCCCCCGATAGATGCCGAATACAATTATCTGCATATCTACAAATGGAAAGGTAAAAGTAACTGTATAAAAGTCGATTCTCGAAGGCACGATTTAAATTTTGATCTCTCTTTCTCTAGAAATTCTCAGTTTATAACACAAAAACTATGTCTGTATATTCCCGAGAGGCCCCATCGAAAATCTTCCTGATTTTCCAGAAAATTTAAGGTTCGCGTAACACAGTCCAATGTTATTTTACCAACGCGATAACTAAGATACTTACGTAGCGTGATGTCTTCGACGAGATGCCTACCGATTATCGGGGCCGACGGAAATATTCTCAGCGACTCTTTGCAGCATCGCTCGAGATACTCCATCCTCTGCAAATCGTTCGAGGTCAAATTTCCGCCACACTCCTCCATTATGAGCTGCACCTCGCGCCTGGCCCGCTCCTGTATCTCCGGATGCTCACCCATCAGCACCGTGAGATAGGACAGGGCGAAGCCCGTCGTGTCGTATGCCCCCGACATGATATCCTCGAGCTCGTCCAGCACACCCTTCTCGTCGATCCGGCCCTCGGACTCGAGCTGCAGCAGCAAATCCAGTAGTGCCAGGCGACGTCGGTTCCCGCTGGTGCTGCTGTCCTGGCTCGGTTGTCGGGTGTCGTCCTTCGCGTCGTCGTACTCGTCGGCCACCCTCTTGATGTGCTCGTAGCCGACCTCCTCGAGGTAGCGCCTGCGCTCGTTCACCACCATGGCGAAGAAGCCGTGGAACGACTCGTTGCAGATCTTGAGTCGGCGGCCGATCGGCAGAAACGGCACCAACCAGTTGGGTATGTACGGGCGGACCACCAGAGATCCGACCAGACGGCCCATCTCGTCGAAGGCGTGACGGTAGCGCTTGGCCAGGTCCTGGTCCAGACTCGCCAATTTCACGCCCATCATAGCGTCTGTCGTCACGTTCTTTTTTTTTTAGAGAAAATTAGATGAAAAAAAAATGAGAAACGTATGGTTGATTACCGCTAACGGCCGCCAACACGAGCTCGTGAAATAGCTCGGTGACATCGTCCACGTCGGTCTTGGCCTTGAGCCGCTCGATGAATTCCACCGTGTGCTCGTCGGTTATTCTGTTGTAGAGCTTAACCAGATTCATCGTGAATGCGTTGTTTAGCATTCGGCGTCGTCCTTTCCACGTTTCAGCTGTTCAATTCGATTGTCAATTAGGTCAATTGTTTTTTTGTGTTTCTTTTTTCATTTACCATGGCTAAAAACTATCCCGTAGTTTTTCAAGGCTCGGCTCCCCGCCTCGTAGGCAATTTCAGATTTGTCCAAGTTCGTTCTCGATGTCAAAATCGTCTGAAAAAATTATTAGCCGCTTAAACGAATGTCAAAATGAAAGTCGATCGCTCGTAAATACCTTGATGTCGTCCGGGTCTCGTATGAAGAGGATGGCCTGCGACATACAAGCCCAAAACCGCAGCACCGGACGGTAGACATCTTGGTAAGCCTGAAGCTTGTGATAGGTGTCAGCTGAAAAACGAACATTAAATTATCGTAAATCATGCGTCAATCTCACAAATGTACACTGTCCAAAAAAAATTTTAATTTAATGCAGGTTTTGTGTAACATCAGACGGTAAAATTAAAATAATCGATTATATGTATGAAATCTTCATTGAAAATTAATTTACTAGCACTGATGTATTTCAAAACATTTACTACACAATAAATGCATAAACACAATCGCCCTATATTATTTCTAAAGTAAAAATGAATGAAAAAGATTTATACTGCGTACTCGAATTCAAAAGTGTTGATGAAAAATTAACGATTGCATACTGATTTATTTTAGCGTTAATTGTTCAAAAAATGTATGAGAATTCAATCATGATTAAAGCCAGCCATTGCCACTAGGTGGCGAGCATAATTGTCTGCAAATCAGCAAGTGGTACTGTATTCTAGGCTTTATATATAATCATCCTTTAATTTCATTGTAACGGTAGGTTTTAATTTATTTGCAATAGTTTACAGGATGTGGCGATTCAAACAATTAATTTGTTAATAACAAAATATTGACCAGGAACTCGGTCTGTCTACATTCAAATTCGGTTTCAGTGACCCGAAAAATATCGAAATTCGTCAACTCGCCGAGGGTATCTCGCAATAATACTCAAATGTCACCAGCCCCGACTGAAAGTGAAATTATAATTGTATAAGTCGAAACAAGAATGCATTAACCATAGTGTTTCATCTGTACGAGAAAAAAAACCCTCCGCTCTTATTCAATAAATTTTGAAAGCAAATATATTTCCATAATATTTTGCGTGCGTAGCCTAGCGCGTTGCGCAGTAGGGATCGCAATTACACTTACAGAACGAACAAGTGGCGAAATTCCAGCTGTTGCCGAAAATGGGTGCGGGCGCGGGTCCTGGAAACTTGTTGATCGTCCTGCCGAACTTGCTGTAATGCACCGAGGCGTAACAGTAGACTATCACCAGTACGACGGCGACGAAGATCAAGGCAAACATAGCGGTCGATTTACGTAATAATTGTAAAAAAGTTGAAAAAATAAAAAAGAAATTCGTAGCACACCCCACAAAATCGAGATAAAATGAAAAATTCACGACACGATCCTGTGCGCGTACGTTTTTCCTGTGTATGCTTCGTCCATACTTGATCCACGTCGGTCAATTGATCACCGAATTCGGAAATTCGGCGGAATATATAATGCAAGCGTCTTGCGTGCACTCGCGATGCAAACGAAAGCGACGACGAAGCGGTCTAATAGTCGCGTGACCAAATAAATTTTCTCTCTTACTCAATTTTCGGCTAACGATGTGAAAAAACAACTGCGGCACGCAGGCTGCGGTCGCGCACGAGAGGTAGCACGTACTTTTTTTTTCTCAATCGTCATCATATCGATTTTCGGTATGGGTCGCATAAAATACCATCGCTCACAAAGTATTTTGAATCGTCGTCCTCAAAAAATCGTGTCGTTTTTGCGATTATTCGTGTGGATTTTTCCACCCACCCGTAAAGCATGTATACGATTCTCGAGAGTCGATCGGTCGTTAAATCGCCTCGTCTTGTGCGTGTCTCTGGTCGGCCGATTGCTTTTTAACAACGTACTATACGACGAGAGCTGTCCACTTTTCATTATCAAGTTAAGTCGCGCGCGCAGACGATCAACGTCACATCTACAGAGGACACGTCCTCTCGGCCAGGCTGGACAAAATAACGAAGCTACCCAAAAAAAGAGAAGAAGAAAAAGTAGAAAAGAGAAAAAGAAGATTATATTCTCGAAGCTCATTTCCGCAGACGCGCTCGATGGTGTGTGTACACCTATACTTACTCGAAGATCGTCTTAAAAAATCATCGACGCGCGATTATGTCTGCTCGTAACAATAACGCATTACGGGAGAGGATCGCAGCAATTGAAATCGATTTCTGTCCGCGCGATCGCGTCTTTAACGCAAGCTCGAGTGACCATCCATTATAAAGGCTATATAATATATAGAGGCTGGCTGGCGTTGGCGGTGCGTGTAAAAGTGTCTGCGTGCGCGCGGCCCTTATACATTTACACAGTTTTCTCTCTTTCTCTTTCTCTCTCTGGCCAGACTCCGCGGCGAATATTATTCAGACTATTTTACTTTGTGGGCAATGCTGCTGCTGTATACGTAAGAGGATTACATCGAGAGCTTCTCTCTCTCTCTCTTTCTCTCTCTCTTGCTCTCTTGACCAGTGCACACGCAACAGTAACAGTAGTAGAAGTAGTGGCTTGGCCAGTATACATACTGTAAGTCCACTCGAGGAAGCGAAAAAGATCGAGAAATCAAGGGAAAAAATAAGGAAACCTACTCGACGAGAGAGAAAGAGCGAAAGCTCGCGCAGCAAAACTGACCGCGCGCGCGCGCTTTGTGGCTGCCTCGCTCGCTCGCTCGCGCCCAGGGATTATGACCTTGCATACGTACAGCCGAGTCCGTGGGGGGAAAGAAAAAATTTTTCCTTGCCTGCCTTATGCTGCTGCTGCTGCTGCTACAACCTCAAAAGAGAAATATGTTATATATGATGCAGGCTACGTATTATTTGTACGATGGGCGAGAGATAGGCCGAGCACATGTGTGTATAGCGTGTACGAGCGTGTGCTTTATATGGAAGACGATGCTTTTGAGGGCCGATGATTCTTATCATCGAGCGTGTCCGAGAGTTCGCGGAAAATCCGTGTAAATGACGAATTCAACGACGCGCGCGGACGGACGGACTTGAACTCATGGTGCCTACTGCTGCTACCGGTGCTACTCCGTAAAGATAACGAATCTCTCTCGCTCTCGGCTTTCTTTCTTCGCGGCGGCATCAGTTTTTTTTTTCACCTTCAAGGGTGACACATGACGTGTACGCTAATGTATGGTGTTGGACACGCTTGTCGTTTCGGAGTAATTTTCGTGTATTAATACGATGATACGCGCTCGCGTACGCTGCTGACGCTTCATTTTTTTGAATTTTTTTTTTTTTTAAAAAGCAACAAAGTGTGAAAAAGCCGTTTCCATTGAAACAAACTATTGAGTTATTGTATGATGCGCAGTAAAACGTGAATGTACAAAACCTGATTCGCGCGATTTGAATATCACGACTTCGCACTGCCGCAGCAGCAGCAGCAGCAGCATCAGCAGAAGCGGATCGCTTCACAAAAAAAAAGTATATTAATTAATTGCTGGCGGCGCGTGAGTTTTTGTACGGGTAGTGTACGTAATAATGCGAAACGCATTTATTCTAAAATGTTTCGGATACATATCATTATTACTACAAAGTCTCTCGTCTGAATTTACTTGCGTACGTGTGTACATAAGATTTTTATATGGAAGGGGACCCCCTGCGGTGGCTTTACCTGCATCATTGATTAATCGCATCGGATAATGTCTTTGACAATGGGTCTCATCACGCGAAAAGCACACGACTACCTACCTCTACGTGAATGCGAGTACCTATACACGCACGTAAACGAGGCATCATCGCTTTCTCACGTCGCAGCAACAGCAGCAGCAGCAGCAGTGCAGGGCACAACACACAGACATGTGCTTGGTACGGTCATTCGATTCCGTTGCGACGTAATATACATGGCAGTAAGTATATAAGCGGCTGCTTTTTGTGAAACAAATGAGCGCGCGCGCCAGCGCCAGCGAGCAGGGATAATTATATCGGCCCTCCGAGATTCGATACCCATTCTCTCGCTGAATCATACTCGTATGTGTGTACCCTACTCGCTTCTTTATAGTTTTCCTCGATCTCTCTCTCTCTCTCTCAACCCCTTACAGTTCATATACGATGTCAGTACTATCTTTCTCGATGCTTTTATACATCCATCTATCGCGTGCATGTATAATATCTCTCTCTCGCTCCGAAGAGAGGCGATGAAACAAAAGATTTTTTTTTTTACTTTGCTATCTGCTGCCTTCGCAACCCTTATTACTTGCTACTGCACACGCTTGTTGTGTGCGTTGCGCAAGTACATAGTAGCAAGCGGTATATACGTCACGAATATTATTGTATTACTCTCCGCTGACTATAAATATGCTAATTGCACAATTAGATCGGGTATAATAGCATCATCGGTTGCCTTCTGAGAGTATATTTTTAGTGCGGCGTATGAATTCTTAATGAGCTAAAAATGTTGGCAGTCGTTTTACGGATTCGCAAGCTGGTAAAAAAAAAGTATGAATGCAAAAAAGCCAGTTTATATCTGTATCTATTTGACGTTTGTTTTCGGCCGCTTTCGTTCTCTCTCTCTCAGCCAATTTGCGAGTACTTCTAGCGAAATAAAGTAAAAAATAAAAATAAAGAAATATGAAAAAAAGCTCACTCGCTCTCTCTCTCACTCCCTTGTCTTATGTATTCCGCCGTTGAAGCATATTTTCTCCGCTACGCGCGCGTGCGGTGCAACAATGCGGCTCGCGCGCTACACATCTCTAGCGTAAGGATGCAAAAAAAAAAAGGAAGGAATGAAAGAAAAAAAGGGAATCATCGTTCTCCTCGACAATGGCGAACGGTTTACGGAAAATTTGAGTTCGTATATATACGGTAGCCCAGCGCACGCAAATGTATAACGAGCAATGAATATAATAATAACGCGGCTCGTTAAAGCGCACAACAGAGCTCGACAATAGACGCAAATTTTTAAAGCGAGCGAATAATATAACGAACCGTGGAAATAATAAAAAAAAGAGAAAAGAAATAGATGTATCTATATTATATGGGCATATACACACATAATTTAGGAAAGCGCACAACAATATAATGGAGAAAGAATGCCGAGCGGTATAGAGAAATACGAGATGTTTTTCTCGGTAATGTACCGATGTGGCGCCTTGTACTACTGGAGAAGCTGCTGTTGGTGCTGCTGCTGGTGCTGCGCGCGGGGGCACGCGAGCTAGCGCGATATATCTAACGAGTGAGCTCATTCGCGATTATTGAGAGTCGACCATAGTCGCTGCTACCGGGCTTCGTGATTATCTATGCATGTAAAGCGCCTCGAACACAATGTGTCGAAAATTATGATTTTTTTTCTGCCTCTCCATTCTTTTCTCTCGCTTTTTTTTCGGTAGCGAAAGCATAAAGCAAAATGAAATAATGCGTTACAATTGGATTTGTCGGATAACAAAAAAAATGTACATATATCGAAGCTTGACCGAGCGCGAGAGTCGAAAAATACGCGGCTTTTTTATTCTTCTTCTTTTTTTTTCATTATTTTATTGTTGCGTGGGAAACAATAGGGAGTCAGGCGCGGCGCTTTGTGTCGGATCATTCGGAGTTTATTACTTCGCGTTACTGCCGGTGATTTTATTAATACGATATAAATTTTAATTTCGTTCGAAAAATGATACAAAAAAAAAGAGAGAAAAGTGTCACGAGGGTATAGGTAGACGCGTTTAATTTGCCAGAACACCACCGAACAACGACGAAACGGATAATCGCCCCGAATCGTCGGTTTTCACCGCGTAATACCTAACGGTCTAATTAAGAAAACGAGTCGGTGTATAAATATCTATAGATATATATATGTTTTGCTTTTCTCGAGACTAAAAGAGAGGCGTGTACACGAGATTTGCGTGTATATATATCTTTATAAAACACCCAGACAATAAACGATTAACGAGGGCCTTAAAGCAAAGAAGGGTATATTATGTATAAGAGAGTAAGAGAGAGAGAAAAGCGACTTAAAACCGTGGGGCGCCAGCGAGTTTGCCTATTCACGACACAATGCCTTACGGGATGACACAAATGTCTCGAAGAAAACAGCAGCAACAGCAGCCATGGTGTATACATAACGGGGCCATGCTGCTGCAGCAGGGAGGGTCGGGTCGTGTCGTGTACGTGGTTCTTCTTTGCCTGCCCCGTACAGTAAAAGTAAGAGAGAGAGAGTGGGAGAGACAATACGTCAGCTGAGTAGCTCTCTGCACGCGGAAGTAATTATAAAAGCCGAGAGGAGGAGGAGGAGAAGAAGAGAGAAAAAAAAATATCTCGTCGGATTTTCTTCGGCGCTTTAAGCCGTTTAGAAAAAAAGGAGAAAGAGAGGAGCGAGCGAGACACTTGTTTGAGAAATCGAGTCGTTTAATCTCGCGCACGCTCGAGCGATTTGTCAACGAGCGCCATTCGCGCGTGAGCGAGCACGCCAGCGTGTTA